GACTGTATGTAATTTGTGGTGGGCAGATTTGGTGTTTATTGTTGCAAAGTTCATAAATAAATAAGTAAAATTCCGCGCTTGTGTGTGTGTGTGTGGCTACCCACAACCACAAAGCTTCGCCAAATTACACAGACGTTTTAGATGTCAATTAACGTAATCCGACGCTGATAAGTGTTTAGATAAGTGGCATAATGCCATCCTACTTAAATCTATGCCGCTGTATAGATTAGTGTGATTTAAATCGCAGCGTGTTTACAGCCTGAATGCGATATGAATTTTACAATTGCCCATGCACGCTGGGCTGCTCGGCCAAACACTTAGCGAAAGTGGTAAGCGACAAAATATTATTATTACTATACTACCGGCGTATCCGGCGAACTTCGTCTCGTCCAACATTTATACAATACTTTAACCAACTTCCGGTGACATTTATCTGCTGGGATTATGGTTTGGCAAAAGAAGACACTAAAAAAAGACAAAATAATCAAAAAATAAATTTATTTTAGAAATGCATAATTTAACAAGTAAAATTTAATTTTTAAGCAACTCTCATATGATCCAATGATCGGATCTAAACCAGCTTAGTATCCACCTCTGAGATACCATCTTTCCGATACAAAAAGAATTATCGAAATCGGTTGACGTGGTCGGTTAAAAAGAGAAAAACTACGAACCAGTTTCATGATATGAAAAATGTGTGTTTTGAGTCTTTGACTATTTTCTCCTTTCGAGTTTTTATCTCACAAAACTTTAATCTTTATAGTTGTAGCAAGTAACATTGAATCACAAGATGCATTTTTTTTTGGCAGCATTTTCATTCGATTTTCGCGAGCCTTGAATATAGTAAACGTGCGCTGGACGTGAGTTGATATAAGTGGTGTCCAATTTAAATATGGAACGATTAAAACTTTCATATTATCAGGAATAAGGGCTTTTTCCTTGCTCTTTACAATTAAAGGTAGAAAAGGCAAAAAAAAAGGCAACATCAAATGTGTATATATGTGGAATCAGGGAAAGCTAAATAGTGGACATTCTGAATCGAATATACTCTATCTCTTAAGCAGAAAAAAAGCAATTTCCATAAAATCCGTTCCCTGCTAATTACATACGTAAAAAACATTCGGCGTTTAATCGCTCTATTTCATATGTATTAACCGGCAGTTTACAGAAAAAAAAATTAAACACTTTGCGTGTTGTTCTGTTCTTAATTTCTAACAAATTACTCAAAAATCGTTGCTTCTTCAACTTACATATGTATAATTAACAAATACAACATTTTACTATCACTACTACAGTACCAGACTATCGCCCAGTTGTGTGTCTGGACTATATACATATTTACATATGTACATATGTATGTATGTATTTATGAATGCAAATACAACACCTGGAACTTTAGAAGATATTAAAAAATTAACTAGACTTTAACTATTAAAGTGGCACGCAAGATTTTTTTCCCAGATTTTTTTTTTACAAAGCAAAAACAATTGCAGTAGTAGCAAACATGAACTTTGATTGTTTATTTTCACTTTTCATTGTTTATTTTAGTCAGCAACTTGGGCATGCCGCTTGCATATGTACATCCATATACTTGGTATAGTTTATTATACGTACTAAATATATTGAAAAGTGTGAATATTCTTGAACGTCACTCAGGGTATGAAAGATAGGTGTGAATTGGTACTAATTAAATTTTCACCCACAGTATGTACATATGAGTGATAACCAATTTAGTTTCTTTGATGTTCAGATGTGCTTTATCTAGTAGGATAGTTTACAGTAAAAATAAGCTTTTATTCAATGGAAATATTTTGAGGATCATAGACAGTGCGACTCTTGCGTATAAATATAAAATACTTTATATGTAGTAGAAATATGTAGTTAAGTTATTTTTTACATCACATCGGCATCTATGTGGCTTCCGGTCCCACTTTGTTGTTACTTGTTTGAACTTTTTTTCCCCCAACAATGATGCCAAATATTTGCCGGCTTATTTGAGAAAATAATTAGTAGTGCAGCCCTGCTGGAAATCGGATTATGATTTTACGGTCACATATTTGGAATTAGTTTTTGCTTTGCTATTGCGAAAGCCCTAAGGTTGGAGTTCCTACTACCTTAATGTCGTTTATGAGATTTCAGCTTCGATTCTTCATAAAAGCAGGCTTTTTTCTTAATTTCTTTCTCAAAATCTTGGCTTCTGGAGAAAGTATCGAGTCGTCAATTTAAAAAGTAGCTGATCTTTGTTTGAATTCGTACTCATTCCACCAGCGTACGTAAAAAAAGAAGGCTCATTCCGCAAATTTTAAGAAAACAAAATTATGCCCGATTTCCACTAGGCAAAAAATGTTTGTGACAAATCTGGGCATTAAGTCTGCGTCATTACGTTAAAAATAAAAGTCTATTTTCCCACGCCATTAGTTTAATGATATAAAATTATTCGTAATTTTTGTAATTTCAATGCCTAGTGCAAATTCGGCATTAGTTTTGGCGTTTTGTGATGGCACTTTTAAAAGATATAGCAAATGTATATATCTTTTAAACCGGTTGTTCGGCAGGCAAAACATCCGACGTTCAATTGCTCCCCTTGGCTTTAATTTTTTAACCAGATAAATATTTGTTTGTTATTTTAGCGATGTAATTAATCTGTTTGCATTTATTTTATTTATGAAAACCTATACATGCATATGTTTTTTTTTCGTATGTATTTTTGCATTGATAATCGTAAAATTGCAAATTGAAAAAGTAAATTAATTTGCTGTGCAGTATGTATGTACGTGCTATAAAAGGATTTGGTAATAGATTTTTTTAATTTTATTTCGAATGTGTATGTATATTTGTATATCGAAGTATATATGTGTAATCTTACAGGTAGGTCAGCCGAGCTCATCTAACCCATAATAGATATTGCAATATTTTATATAATTTTTTTCCACATAATTACTTAATTGGTATACCTACTCCATTTTATACCACATTTTAAGATGAGATCATTCACTTGCCAATTGTAACGCTAAATTAGAAGAGGGTTAAGATTTGGTTGTTACTCAATTTTTCATGTCTGTACTTTTTGGCAATATTTATGGCCAGTCTTAATGAATTGGAAACGTAAATAGGTGAGTGTAGAGAAGAGTCACTGGTAGCGACTGTTTTTCAATAGCGCTTGCGACACTAAGCAGAGATCACTTTGAGTTTGTTGACCTAGTCCCGTAATATACATATGTAGGTACATATCGTCGTTTAAAGTGCAAAACCGCGTATGTGAAGTTGTAGAAATTATTTTCTAGAGCATAAAAACACTCATATTTCAAAGTGGTTTTCTTTTTTTTATAAAGCAATCGCATTTCTGGCTAGTATATTTCAGGACGAATGGATAAGATTGAGCCAATCCAATTTTTGGCAGCCAATGTCAGTTACGCGGTTTTGCAGAATGACGATACGCGGTTTTGTACTTTAAACGACGATATGTACATATGTAAGTATTTAAGCGATGAATGAAATGTGTTCCTCAAAATAATTTAAATATAGAATCCTGTGACCAGATATAACAAACTCGAAATCTTCCTTGAAAAGGAATACCGAAGGCAGGCTGTTGTCACCAAATTCTAGGTACTTCAAACTTTTTAGAAAAATTGGAAGATTTTACGACAACAAACTTTTTATCAGATAAGAATTTCTATAAAAATTCCAAGTATGCAATTTTTGGCCCATTAAATTTTAGCTTAATAAGTGAAAGTTTCAAGTGGTAATAACACCATCCGCAAAAAAACTATCAAAAATCTATGCGAATTCCTAGCCACTTGAAACTTACTTTTTCTTAGGCTAGAATGTAATGGATTATAAAACTGCTTGCTTGGAATTTTTATAGGTATTGTTAATAAAAAGTTTGTTGTTGTTGTAAAATTATATTGAATTTTTCTATCTTGTTTGAAATTTGGACTTATATGATTTTTGTTAGATAATAAGCTGCATTTTTTATACAAAATATAATAATAAACATTAAACAAACAGGAGAAAATAGCCAAAAATGGTCAAAATTTCGTTTCCGTATTATTTTTCACATGACTGTATGTAAACGTGAAAAGTGCCGCATCTAAAAATGCTCTACGACTTAAGGTGTCTCACAGACCAAGAACAACTTGCAAAGGTACGCTACCATCCTGGACAGAGTTAAGAAATTAGTTTCTAATGCAACTTCGAAATCTATTGTTTCAACAGAAGTGGCTGGGAACTGTATATCGTTCTCAACGATAACGAAATCTCGATGTTCACATATGGCTTTAAAATGGACAGAAATTATCTTTGAGAACATGTGGGTTCAAATCACGTCAGAGGCAACGTGTTAAAAGTGATAATAACAATTTTTGTTTTGTATCTCCGAATTATGAAAAAGCAGCTGTGAAGTGCAGAACATAAGGCGTATTGAAGCGAAAAATCGACAACCAAAATTGTTTTTAATGTAAACAAAAGTGTAGTTAATATTACCAAATCATTGTTGAAAATATCAATCAAGGCATTGTTAATATTAACCAAAAATCACATTGATTCCTTGTCAAGTTTGAATTTGGTAATATTTACCAATATTTGGTTGATTTTTTTCTCAGTGTAATCAATCTTTGCTGATCCAGACGCAGTGGTGTGAGAAAGCGGACAAGTGTACTGGGATAGGATTTAAAAGAAACGGTTCAGATCATAAAACCACCCAAAGTTATGGATATGAAGAGTATCTCTCGATGTCTGACGCCATCTCAACCTCGTCTCCCCTATGCGGAAGCCCTCAGCCTTTCAGCTTTGTTTATCTTAATACTAAAATTTAAAATTTTTTGGTATGCAAATCAAAATGAATGGACCAAACCTTGAGTTTCAGCAGCAGGTCCTACTAGAATCCTCGAGCAGAAAAGATCAAAATATTGTTAATGCTTAAAGTTCTACTATTATACATATACACGATCGCTTTTAATTTTTCAATAATAATCAGTTGCCTTCTCTTGTCATTATTTCAGATCACCATGTGCACTTTGACACCACCAATCTGAAGGACGATTTCGAATCGGACAGCTGTGTCACCTACCAACGTTCCGGCGACACAATTGTCATCAGTTTGGGTTTCCTGCAAGTCAATCACCGATATCTGATCGATCTTAAACTGCCCGTGACATTATTCGACAATCTCGGCACAACATCTGTCAGTCAATTTGAGCCCGCAGTTACCACAGTTCCTAACTTACATTGCCGCATTACAGAATTTTCCGGCTTAAAGCATGACGAACATGATTTCTATGAAATGAAAATCGAATTTTTCGCCTACAAAGAGAAACTGCTACGCGAAGTGATACACATTGTCAACTCGAACAATTCGCAGGAGGTGCTTAAGTTGATGATAGCAGCACGTGTGCTGGGCAAAGGCAAGGGTACACCGATGCTGCGCAGCGGTATACATTGCATAGGCATTGAAAGGGATGACGGGGATGAGTCGGAGGCGTCAGATTTTCCCGGCTTTGGCAAGGGCACCTAAGGGGAAGCAACAGAGTGCCAAAAACATAAATAAATTAAAATAAACCAAAAAAAAAAAAAAAAAACACAATTAAAACTGTATTATATAAGAAATTCTAAAATAAATACATATGTAAATTTATGACATTCTCCACTCACGATTTAATGAATATTACTACAGCACTTGACTGCAGTAAAGATGAATATTGTCCATGTGTGAATATATTTAGTATG